CTGCCAGGTCATATGGTCCACACAGCATGGCTACTTGTATTATAGCCCCACCTGCTGCTGAGCCCCTTCCTGCTTTAGGCCTCACCACAAGTGACAACTCTATGTCACGGGGAATATAGGTTGGGTGGTACCCACAGGTGTGGAATACACTGCCTCCAAAATCCAAAGAAGCCTACCAGGCATCGTGCTTCCTTCTGACGGATTTGTCTTTGACTCTGGATGGAGTGTTCCTGGCACACCCCAGATCCCTGGCTCCTGAAGCTTTATCGTATTTCCTCCCACACTCTGCTGCATGTGTCTAAGATTTCTAACATACTTGCCATATGTTAGATATGTAGCCCAGATAGATGTTCTGGGCAAGATGTAGACATACAAGTCTTTTTCAGGCAGGCAAGTCAATAAATTTTCACCTTTGTCTGGTCTTCCTTCCTGACAGGTGAGGAAAACACTCAGCACATTATACCACGTACCTGAGACCATGTTATGTGTTCTAGGGAGGAGGTCACATCTGGCACAGCAGCTGCAAAGAGATCTACCCTTTGTTGACTTTGCTGTCCTTCACCATCTTCCGGGATCCATCTGCTCCTTGCAGAAGTCAGGCTGGTGAGTTAAACAGACTATGGGAATTACCATCCTGGCAGCCTGCAGGTCTTCAAGGATGGAATTAATCTTTGCCATTTCCTGATTTCCAGTGAGGCTGAACACTTTTTAATGTATTTATTGGTTTTTCTAACTACCTTTCTTTTAATTCTCATAATTCATATTCATTCATTTGCTTTTTTTTTTTATAATATAGTTTATCTTATCCCATCACTAAATTGTGAGCTTCATGGGGCCAGAGACTGTCTTTTTTTATCCCTGTGTCCTCGGACTTGGGACATATGAACTCAATAAACACATAATGGATGAATAACTTTAACAAAGTGAAAGAGCTGCATTTGATTGGACACCCTGGTCTTCTTGGAACTTGAAACCAACCTCCTCAGTTTATGGGTAAGTCATTTGCATTATTTTGGTTGACTTAAAAGAAAATACAGTATCATCCAATCAACTATCTCTTTGGAAACCAAGGCAGTATCACCAAATTAATTGAAGCTCCCAAACGTTGTTTCCTCAGTGGACTCCCCTTGATAGCAATAACGGGCAATAACAAACTGAGCCCTCACCCTATCTGGCTGTGATAAACGCATCCAAAACACATTACCAACCTCAGAGTGAGGCTTTGAGGCCTGAGGCTGCAGTGAAAGAGAACTGAAGTTGACAGGCACAAGTTTAAGAACCTGATATTGTACACATGAAAAAGGCCAGCTGCCGGTCCCTTCACCATGCACACAGTGAATGTGTTTATCTGAGCTTCCTGCCATTTTTCAAACCTGGGAGTCTCTAATGAGATGTTTGGTTAACTCAAAACTTCGGATGTCAGAAACAAATCTCTCATTTATGGACTCTCATGTTTTTTCCTTTGCCTTCAATTTTCTGGGTTTTTAGCTTTAAAAATTTTTGAACATCTATTTACACAAGAACATTTTTATCTTTCTAAAACACACACCTCATTAGACTCCTCACATCTTCAAAAACTTTTCACGAGCCCTCATCTGAAGACCAGTGTCCAAACTACTTCCTGAGGTCTCCAAGGTCCTGGCTACTCTTTTGCCCATTTCTCTCCACCATTCATAAGAACCCAATGCTTCTGCCATCCAGAGCATCTCCCTTTCCGTTACCAAGCGTGGATGCTTCAACATCAGTGCTTCAGAGCATGTACTGACACTTCTGAGAACTCTTACTATCTTTTCGCAATTTGGTTCTTATGTTCACTCTATGAAAACTGCCCTCCCCTTCCGTCAAAATGTTAGTTACTCCCTTCTCGGCTATCTCAACATATTAAGTAAACTTAATATACTCATATACTATATACTAAAATTATTTATATAGTCTGTCTCTCTACCAGACCAAAAGAGTGGTTTCAGACTAATTTCTCCTGAGAGGTACAAGTGCTGCCTCTGTGACTGCAGTCTCCCAGTGTCAGTCTAGTCCTCGTTACACCACACACGGGCAACATTTGTTTGCTGAGTGAATGAGTGAAGACTCAATCCTTACCCAAAGGACCAGGCCCTTCAATTTAACCACAAGAAAAGGATCAATAAAATGCCGGGGCAGATTCTAATGGTGTTTACTTGCCCAAGTTTCCTCCAGCAACTGAACACATTTAGAGGACATTTTCAGGCCTAGACTTACAGGTAACTCAGAGACCCTAGGAACTTTGCCCACCCCACTTAAGAGCTGATCCTTTAATTTTCTAACACACTGGGGGCTTGGAAATGCCTCTCAGTGGATGGGCAAGCTCAGGTGGATGTCTGCAAGCCTCCTTCCTTCAGAAAACAGTTATGATAACACAGCTTGTTTTCCAAATCTCCAAGCATATCCATGCAATCATGTTATGCTCCAACTATCGCTGCTGAAGCCTTTCAGTCAGTTAGCGATTTTTCAACTTACCTTTGGTAAGGACCCTTTGGGTGTTTATAAATGAAGCCCCCTGCTCCAAGTTCTCTTCCAGTCTATTAAGAAAAAAACAAACCTAACCAGTTCCTGTTTGGAATCAGTCCAAGGACATTCAATGGATGTTCAAGGCCCTTCAAACTTGGTCCTGGTCTTTGCCTTCCATTTGCCTCATCTCTAGTCACTCTTAAGTGTCCTGCATGCCAACGATTCCAGTCACCTACCAGGTATCTCACACTTCTTTGTGATACCTTTCCATATTCTACTTTCTCTGCCAGATACACACACACACATACCTACACCTCAGCTACCATATTACCTGCTTCTACCCTTTAAGGGTGTATACAGGTATTGCCTCCTCTGGGGAGTATTCCCTGATTGGATTAAAGGCCTTTCCTGACCACTAGGCATTCAACTGTTCACTAAATAGTAAGACCTAGCTTGCACCAAATTCTGTTCTTGGTGTTGATATTGTAACTGGGAATAAAACAAAGACCTTGCTCTTATGAATTTTAAATTCTTAAAGGGGAATAACATACAATAAAGAAATAAATATCTGTTTCAGGGTGGTGAATACTCTATATTTAAATAAACCATGACAGACTATTTTAAAATGGTTCAAGGGAGTGCTATTTTATTTAGGGTAGTTAATGAAGATCTTTCTGATGGTAAACAGAGATTTGAATAAAGTGAGACTGGGAACAAGCAGGTACTGTGGACAGAGCACTGCAATCAAGGGAGAATAAATGCAAAGGCCCTGAAGCAGCACTGCCCGTATATGCGTTCAGAACAATAAGGGCGCCAGTGGAACCACAGTGTTGTGAGAAAGGGAGAGAACATTAGGAACATTAGGAAATAAGGTCAAAAAGGCAGCCAGAAAACAAGCTCTATTGGGTCTCGTAGGACATGTTAAGGGCTTAGAATTTCACTCTAAGTGAAGTGGTTCAAAACCACTAGGAGGTTTTGAACAGGTAAGAGATATAATTTGTTTTACATTTTAGAAGGTTTAAAAGTAACCCGGTTACATTCCTGGTTACTATTTATGGATAACAGATGATAAGGCGAACAAGGGTGGAAGCAGGAAGAGCACAGGCACCTGGCCACCCATTAAGTCTACAAATATTTGCTGGGAACTCCTCTGGGGTGAGCACTGACCTGGGCACTGAAGATACATAGCAGATGTGCAAAACGGGATCCTAAACATAACCACCAAACATGTGACTATGTACAGAACAGTATACAGGCTTCCATAGTAGAGGTGGGAGAGGAAATTAAACAGAAAGTAGCATCCCAGAGAGAAAGCACAAGTGAAAGTCAAGAGGTGACAGGACATAGCAGCACCTCCAATTTTGATATGCCATTCTGTCTCTAGTGTGGAGGTGAATCTGGACAAGACTGGAGGCTGAGGGACCAGATGGGAAGCCATGTGGTCATCTGGGCTAGAAAGAATAAAGTTCTGAAGTAGTACTAGAAATGAAGCAAGAGAGTCCACCTAAGTAGCTGTGAGACGTGAAACCACCAGGATTTGTTTGGATGAGGGTGGGAGAGGACAGACAGGCCTAGGACGGGAAAGGTCAAGTTACACTGAGCACCAGGTTCCTAGCTGGAGTGTGTTAGGTGCCAGTATAGCCACGTGAGAGAAGACAGTTATATCTGAAATGCCAGTGGAACATCTAGAAGAGATCATCTGAAACCTGGGACAGCTCTGGGCTTAAATACAAATTGGGAGTGTCAGTGGCATGTATATAATGCTTGAAACTACGAAATGGATGAAATCAATCAGGGAGACTATATAGTAAAGAGACCTGGGCTTTGAATGTGCTATAAACCACCCATGTTACCTTGGGTAAGTTACTAAGTCATTCTGAGCTTCATTTTTCTCACCTTTAATTAAATATACTATTATTCTTATTAGATTTTTTTAATGTCTACGATAGCACTGAGCGTAAGGCAAGTGCTTAATTGTTTTGGCTCCAGCAGTTACAAACAGCAGGAAGTTAAACAAGTACTTCTGCTTGACGAGCCTTGGGTCTCACCTGCAGCTACGGTTAAATACCTACAGTGCACCGTGGACTGGGTGCTCAGTAAATGGCTGCTGAATAAATGGAAAAAACAATACCTACTAATACAAGAGGTGAGAGGATTAAACAGGGTCTTTTTGAAAACCACAGAAAGATCATTATACATGTTCATAAATTACCTCAGGAGAAGTACCTAGCATTTAGAAAGCAGACAATGTTAGTCCTTCCCTCCATCCTTGCTTTTTAACTCATACCCTCTTTGTGGATTTTAAATCTCTCCTTTTCTATCACTTCCTTCTTTTCAGGTTACAAGCATTTCCCCCCCGACCTAAAAAGTCTTGCTTTGTGTCGTGCTATCTCCCTCCAATTCTTGCCCACTCATGCTTTCTTTTCACCTACTAAACTCTTCCTCCACCCCAAATATTTTTCAATGAACAGTCTCTACTTTTTGTTTTTTTGGGGAAAAGTACCAATTTATTATTGTTTTAAAAAAGCAAATATCATTTACATTATTGTTCAGCAGGTGTGTAAATAGGAATTTCACTTAAAAATATACATGCATTTCTTTTCTACCACAGTAATTCATTTTAAAAAATTTTCAGTATGCATGTGTACAGAGCCCTAAACTGAGAGCCAACATATTCAAATAAGCCCACGGCGTGGGCTGCTTTAGGCCAGTTCCTCATTAGAAGACCCAGCATGGGGGCTCTGGAGACCTACGCAGAAGGTCTTCCAGGGAGAGCTGAAACATTCAGATAAGTGAGTTGTGGGAAGAAGGGGTAGTGGCTGACTCTGGCAGGCTCACCCCTGGGGTACAGCAAAGAGAACAGACCGGGGAGTTCTGAGAGGCGCAGGAGCTGGCTAAACTCAGGGGGACGGAACCAAGTGAGCGGCAGCGGTAATTGAGTTTCAGTTACCTGCAGGGTGGTGAAATAAAGTAGTGACTTCATCTGCCAGACATGGGGGAAGTTTAGAGGTGTCCTTGGCATACTCACAGCGAAATTCGTCACCCCCTCGCGGTGTTGGGTGATGGCAAGCGTACCGCGCTTCCTAGTGACCGCCTACACATGCCACTGGGCAGCCCCTGCGCACCACCGCAGCTAATGAAGCCTCTCCAGCCCGCTCGGCTCCCGGGGCGCCGCATCCCGTCTGAGGGAATAGCACCATGGGAAAATTTAGCACAGCCAGCATCAGCCACTGCCCAAACTCAAAAGAGTCTTTGAATGGCAGGGAGAGAGGCCCATTTTCCTTTCTGCCCAGCCTCAGGTTGGATCGGTCCTCAGGTCACTTTTTGTGGGTCTGTACAAACGTGCCGACGGGCAGCGAGCCGTTCTTCACCTGAGCCCGGATTTCAGCTCGGTGCTTTAATGTGAAGACCAGGGCCCTCACCGTCCGCCGGTAAGGCCCATTAATGAGGCGGGAACAGAGATGAAACGTTTCCCGCTCAATATTTTCAACCAGTAGGTGATCCATCTAAAAAACAGCAAAATTATCAAATTAGAGCCTTGCATTGCGTAAGGATTAAAAGTGAGAGGCTGGAGCACTCTGCTCAGAGCCCTCCATTAATCAACTGAAATTCAAGGACATCTACTTCCTGTCACAAGAGAAACAGGAAGAGCAAATTAATTCCACCCTGGCAATTAAGGAACAAGGCCATGTGCTTTGTGACAGGGACCTCATTCACAACCCCTGCCGGGTGGTAATATTTGCCATTATAACAGGAAACTGGCCTGAACTAAGCAACGGGTACTGGGCCCTGTACTTTACCAGCCAGGAAACGCCAACCAAGGATAATAAATCAGTATAACAGTTCATACTTTTTTTTTTTGTTTTTAAAGTGCCTTTTAACCCCTTACAGCATTTTAGGAACACACTGGGTCTAGATCCTACACAGAGCAGTTTATAAATCACTTTTCACATTTAATGCTCACAATTCCCATTATCTCATGTTAAAGATGAGAAACCAGGTTCTGAGGTAAAGGTCCAAGGTCTTATAAGTACTAGGAGGCAGAGCTGAGACTGACCACAGGAACCCCTGGTTCCAAAGTTCAAGTTTCTTCTTTTTCACAATGCTGATTGCCTCCTCGGCTTTCTGAGAAACCAGTTGAATTTGCAGTAACCTCTGTGGGTCAGCTAAACAGAGCAAGCCAATGGGATGGAGCCTGTAGCAATTCTGGGGGGTCTGGTTCAGATCCAAGACCTTCTGTTTGACCTAATCAAAGCAGAACAGGTCTGGGACAGTGTCTAGATCTGACCATAATGGGTGATGGAGGGGGACCCTCGCTCTCTTCCTTTCTAGACCCCTCTTCTGCTAGTCACTGCTGCAGTCCTGAGCACAGCCTGGCCAGAGCACCGTAAGCTGCTCTCACAGGCCCCTGCCTCTGTGCAAGCACACATTCCCTGGGCAAGGCGCTAGCCCTAGGAAACATGGTCATATTCGTGCGCGAAAGCTTAGCTCCAAGACACAAGCAACAAGCCTATCCTACTCAAAAGACTAAAAGTTCTTTGGACTGCCACAAAGCCCTGAGCTTCCTTTAGTCGTTAACAAAGTATTTTAAAAATCTATGATTTTGGTTTGTTTTCCTGATAGTGAGGTTCCTTAAAAATAGGAAATGTTGGGCCCTCCCTGGTGGCGCAGCAGGTTAAAGCACAGCACAAAGAAGCTTAAGCCACTTCCACTTGAGTTCAATCCCCGCCTGCCCCGTAGGAGATCCACATGGCACGGCAGACCTCTCCTGACCCGCTCGCTGCTCCCCTCAGCAGTGTACTTCATTGATCTGCCTGTTCTGCTCCCCACTCTGTCTCAGGTGAATCCTTCCTCTCACCCTCTGCATCTCTGGCCTGTACCCCAGTTCTGTACGAATAAATAAATCTTAAAAAAAAAAAAGGAAATGTTTCTCTCTCCCTCACTTCTTCATTCCTTCCCCCTCTCTGCCACTCATTCAAATATTTATTCAGTACTTTCCAGTACAGGCCAGGCTGTGCTCTCGGTCTGACAGGCCAAGGCTGGCACAGTCCTTGACTCCACCGAGACCACAGCAGTCCAGAAGCCATGCAGCTGACAGGGACTGTAATTACACTGAGTGCCAGGAAAGGGGTCAGGAACAAGTACCGAGGCAAGAGTACAGCAGAAGGACCCAAGCCAGGAGGGCAGGGCCTGGTGCTGGGGGGGACATGTTAATCTGCTATGGAGCATGAGTAGGATTTGACCAGGGAAGTGGGTGCTTGTGATGAATTCACTGAGCTGCACATATTTCTTCTGTGTAATCAGATGTATTATAATTTTACTTAAAACACACTCCCCTAGGCCCTCCCTGGTGGCACAGTGGGTTAAAGCACAGCACTATGAAGCTAGCTGCAGCCTTTTCAGCAAGAGTTCAATCCCCTGCCAGGGAGCTGACCCACATGGCACAGCAGATGGCTCCTGTCCCACCCACTGCTCCCCTCAGCAGTGTACTTCATCAATCTGCCTGTTTTGCTCCTCTGTCTCTGGTGAATCCTCTCACTGCTTCTGCACCTCTAGCCTGTACTCCACTTCTGTATGCATAAATAAATCTTTTTAAAAAAGCACACCCCAGAGAGAAAAAGATTACCTGACATTTGATAACATGTCCTACACCAAGAGATAGACAGACCAAAACAATTAGGAAAAAAGAAACTGAAAAAGAACAGAATGGGACCGAGAGAGAATGAATACACAAATCCTGATATCTGCCAGAGTCTAGCAGATAAGAGATGTTCAGGGAAGTTGGAGGCCCTGATGACTGGCTGATCATCTCCCAGACTTGTGCTGGAGAGTGGACTTGGCTCCACGGCTCTCTAAGCCCAAGAAGCCTTGTGGTTTTCATGGCCTCTTGTGTGGGCACTGAACGAGGTCCGCAGCCTGAGAGACTCTGGTTCAGGACTGTGCTTGGAAGCTGGAAGGGAGTCTGGCTAGATGCCCAGCACTTGTCCAGCAGGATTAGCAAGAAGATCCTTGCCCCAGCCTGTGGAGGGACAGTCACTGCCTGTGTAGAGACTCACTGAACAGGCAAAAAGTCTTGATTTTTCCTTTGAGGAGAGTAGCTGTGAGGAGAAGGTGTGTGTGCATTTGCAAGACAGATCATGGCCACTCCATCAAAGGGGAGTGGAGGGAAACAAAAAAGAACACCGAGAGTGCCTTGGAATCACATAACTTGACGCTCACACACCATTCATCAGCAAGCAGTCACTGAGTCACTACCTTGAATCTGCTATGACTTAGCAGGAGACATCAAGCAGAAAAACCTGACCACAGCAGCTGCAGCCTGGGAAGGAGAAGACACGAGGGAGCCATGGGGCGGTAGTGCAGATGCTACACCGGTGATGTGACGTGACTGGGAAGCAAGCACATAGCAATTCTCATGTACACCTCTTGCTAAAGGCAGGCCAATCAGAATGAAGAAAAGAAGAAAAACATCAGTGATGTTAAAATGTAATTCATAAGGAAAAGTGATTCTTCACGTAACCATGTGTATAACAAGTCCACTACATGGTGAAGAGTGCCTGTCTGGTAACTGCCTCTGAATGATCCTATCCAAGCTGTTGAGTCCTTTCCAACGGATGCTAACCTGGTGCTTTATTAGTGAACTCTTTTGGGTCAAAGGGTTAGAATCTCACTGGGACCTTGAGAAAAGGGTCTTTGCTGGGAGACAGATCTACATGAATTGAAAATATTATTTAGGGACCATATTCTTTCTGTGTCTTTCATGATCTGCCTGGTCCCTTTCTCATTGGTTCTTGCTCCTCTCCATTTGTCTTACTATCGATTCTAACCTCCTTAGTCTCTCCTATTCTACACATCTCTACCCATGTGGCACTTGCTTCCTCGTTACTCCTCTGTCATCCCTCTGTCTCAACACTCCCACTGTTATTTATTTAGTATTTCCCAGAGACAGAGAATCTGATTATTCCCTGCCTTACCTTTTGTACCTATGAGCTGTGTGTGTGTGTGATACAGTTGTCCAATCTTGGACGAATTGGCTACAGATGGGAGGAGATCTAAAACACAAGCAGCTGTCTTTCATTAAAGATTCTGGACCCAGCAGAAAATGGTACCATAATTGACAGTGGTGCCTGCCACATTCATAAGTTCTTTAAAAGCAAGGGAACAGTTTTCTACATGTCTTTAAGTTCAGAACTTCCCACACTATCTTCTATCTATTTGTTTATCTCCCTCAGAAAACTGGAAGCCCTGTTAGGGCTGACACAGTGTTAGGTCCATTTCTATATTTCCCACGCCCAGCATACTGGCATACAGCAAACGCTCATTAAATATTTGTTGAATGAATGTCCCTCCCTTTCAAGAACATCCTATATACAGCAGGTAAAATATGAATTACAATATTTTCACTGTAAATATATTTCCTAGTTAACAAAATCCTACCCCCTCTTACAAAAGCCAGTTCAACTGCCCTCTCTACCATGAAAACTTCCCAGATTCCACCATTAGATTTCACTGTATTCTCCTTCCATTGTCTATACCTTTTGCTAGTATCACTATTCCAGAACTATTTCATCTGACCTTCTAGCTTGTTGCTCATTTACAGGACATCAGAGACAGGAGATAGCAAGCTTACTTAGGATAGTGACTACAATTCATTTATGTTTGCATTTTCCCCTGGCAATAGCAGTGGTACTACTAAATACTGTTGAATTGACTATCACTGGAAGCAAATTTGAAGAGTTTTCTAGTAACAAGACTGGATTTGTACATATCCACCCGTACTCCTTTTTGACCACTTGAATACATTTATGAGAGAGCTGGTCAAAGCCAGAGGTGCAGGCTGAGGCCATTAAACAAAGAAAAACTAACAGTCCCATATGGGGACGTACCCCTGACCTGGATCTCATTAGCACCATCTGACAACCAACTGGGCCAACCAGGCAGTGTTTCATAACTCTTAATGATACAGGCTCACTTTGAGAATCAGGTTCATTTTTTTTAATGACATAATAGGAAAATGATCATAGGCCATGAGGTAGGAAGGAGAGTGGATAATGAGGAAGGGGAAGTAAGAGAATGACACCACAGGGGATGTTCATATGAGGAAAGATCTAAAAGATTGAAGAACAAAGAAGACCCGGAAGGGGAATGGTGCCCGGGTCTCAACAATGGAGTTTTTATTCATCTATTCCATTACTCCAAGAACAAGGAAACAATCTATGAATCTGGAAAGCAAGATCTGTAGAGTTATAAAGAGATGCACCTTTGGGCTATGTGTATATTCTTCATCTGTGGCTTTCACTACACTAAAGACCAAAACAAATAACATGGGAACATTTTTGAATACAAAAATGTAATGAGTAGATCTGTAAAAACACATGGTAGGATCAAGTTCTAAGGGCATTTTTTTTTATTGGGTCAATAATTTATCTAACGGTTGTCCATTTATGGAGATCTGCTGTCTAATCTGAATGGCTTTAACACTGGTTACTGTCAAAGACCAAATACTGGATTAGATGGCTCACTGATTTACCCCAATATGACAGTGTTTCAGATGATGACAGGTGCTAAGAGTTAACTCTAAATGTTTGTATTTATATTCTCTGACATGCCAAACAGATAAAAATACTACCAAGTGCTGTTTGTTGCAAGAAAAAAAAAAAAGATTGATTGACTTTTTTTTTTTTTTTTTGGCCAAGATAGACAGTAAGATGCATTCTTTTAATTTTTAAAATTTACTCTTTGGGAAGAAAATCATTCAACTATGCTTAATCTGATATTTTTTCCAATTATGTTGCAGAGCACTAACGAATGTATCACTTTTTTAACTTTGCTTTGTAACACTTGAGTGCTTACCACTTGATGTGCCATTTAAAGGATAATTAATGGATAAACTAAAAGGATAATTATTATGGAGTTTAATATAGCAGGCAAACTACTCATTAATCCTTACAAGCATAGCTTCGTTATTATCATTTACTTAAAAAGATACCACAGGGAACTGGTATTTACCACCACATTAACTACATATTATATACCCACACTCTATGTTTCTATAATAATTTTGACTTATTTAAAAAATAAACTTTACTTAAAATATCAAATAGCAAGTCTCGTTTGCTAATCGATACTCTGGAAAATTAGACTTAACAACCTTCCTATTTTTTTCCTTTCTTCCAAGGGCTTCATATTCACATGAAAGCTTCCTTTAGGAGAAGTTAAGAAGAACTATAGCATATCAGTTCTATGCACTATTAAACATGCATTAAAAATTATAAATGTGATAAAATAAAGATATCTAGGAAAGGTTCTACACAATGATACTAATTGATACTGATCAAGTTTAAAGCATTAACACAAATGTAAATAATTTTATGTCAAATTCCTGCAATGTTATTTAAATAATCAAAGCTCTATTTTTATTTATGCATACGAGAACTGTGATGTAGGCCAGAGGTGTGGGGGGGTGGGTATCTGGAGTGGTGGTGGGGTGGGAGGATTGACCAAAAACATCTTATGGAACATTCTGACATATGAGATTGGTCCTTAATAAATCTGGAATAATTGTAATTTGTCCCATATTCATTTAAAGAACAATAATAATTTACCAAAAAGAAAATGCTAATGACATTATGTTGGGGGGGCAAAAAAGGGGAGGGATTAGCTGGTGATTTTTCCTTTCTATATTTTTACTGTTGTCTATCATCAATATATCAAATATATTTTTTATATTAAAAAATCCAAAACTTTATTTTTAAAAAGTAAATAATATGCCACCTGTCCATTTGCCTTTTCTTCGTGCATGTATTATTGAGACAGAAAGGTTAAAATATATTTTCAGAGAATGCAGAAACAAATTTAAACCATACTCTGAGTTGTTTCTTTTGTTAATATATCTTTTAAGAATATTTTAACGAGTATCTTGAGAATAGGAAAAATATAGATGTAGAATATTATTTGCCCTGTAAAATTTGTTTGATGATGATGATTAGTATTATTGTTAGCAAGCAAAAGTCCTTCTAGCGTGTGTCTCAAACCACTTACATCATCTGAACAGCTGGGATGAAGATGATACGGATTATATCTAGTCAATTAATTTTATGCCTTAGAAGGAAAGGTATGAGTATTAACAAAAAAGGGAAAAGTAGAGTCTTTTCAATAGACAGCTATTTATTTTGCCATAGATACCTAGCAGAGTCCAACCCAGAATTTCTGCTTCAGTGAGAAGGCTAAGAATTTTCAGTGGGAAAGAGCCAACATACATTACATGGCTTAATTACTAGGCACTACACTATTCCTGTGTAAAACTGTTTATTTTATTAACCCAACCTTTTGAGGTGATAGAAATCAAGTCTTAGAAATGTTAAGAGGTTTGTTTGACTAAGGCCTACTGACACTATACAAGCAGTGAGTAACCAGCATGCACTACAAGCTGGGGTTTTCACCCAGGTCTTGCTAGTTGCAAAGCCTGTGCTCTTTCTACATCACTGTCTCCCAGAATGCTTACAAATCCAAATCCTTAAAGAAAAACCACTTCGAATAACCAGTTAATTTAAAAGCAACAAAACAAGAAAAACCACAACACTGAGACTATGAAAGTCCATATGAAAATAAGAAAGCCTAGCTACATTCTGAGCAGGGCATTACCTCTAATTCCAAGGCTTCTGAGAGTAATTTCTGGGCATTCTTCCTCAATGCCTCAGTTTTGGAATCACTTCGGACTTCAATAGAAGGTCTATCCAAATGCTTTTCAGTAAAAGTTCTCCACTCGGTGTAAACTTCTCTGGCAAGACAAGCCACTTCTGAATCTGAATGTTGACGCATCTTGTTCACAGTGTGACCTGGAACAAGAGAAGAGAAACCAAAGGAAAGATTGTTGGTCTCCTATGGCACTCAGAAAGTCATTCACCTAGGATGTAAGGCTTGTTGAGTATGTAGGGGTGAGACTGGGGGTGGGGATGGGGTGAGTAAACATAGATGTATTTCTCAAAGGCTGAGATAACAGAATAGCCATGCGGGAGAATCACTGGACTAGCCGATGTAATCATACAATAGAAGCATTACCCAGATACTTAACATAGAACTAAGGTACCAACTCCTTAGTCTAAAAAACTACAAGAAAATGAGTTATGCATTTATTTTATCTTTTCAGTACACAGTATACTTCAGGACAACCAAATAGCCCCAGCTGGCGAGGGAATGTTCTTTATTCAGCTAAAAAAAAAAAGTGAAAAGATTGACAGAATTTAGAAAAAAATGTTTGGCCCATCATGAAATAATTCATTTAGATGACAATCATTAGTGGATGAACTCATTCCCTGAGAATTGATTTATAATGCAGGCATGAGCTGTCATCACCTAGACCCCTGATCAATCATAGCATCCCTAAGAGTGGGCAATCAGACAGAGGTAGCACCTTACAGCACTACAGAGGAAGTAGTTTCACACTCTCCCCTCAAAGAAAAGATAATCCAAAATCCAGCTAGTCGTTCAAAGCTTACCTCCAATTTATAGAAAACATAAGAACAGAATATATACTATATATTAATAGAATGAGGAAACAGCAAATCCACAATGTGGGACATTCTACAGGTAAACAGACATGATTTCTTGTATATTTAATGGCATTTTTAAACAGACAGCATAGAATTAGGGTCTGCTGTAGATTAGAAAAGTCTTTAAGTCGAAGTTACCAAGTATGTGTGACTCAAATCATGATTAAAACAAATCAAGTATTAAACAAAGAATACAAATATATACTAGGCAGTAAATTATGTCAAGGAGTTAGTGTTGATTTTTTTTTTTTGAAACAATTCATCCTCAGCACTTTTTTTTATTATTACAAAGTTTATTTTTACATCATTTTGCACATTTTTTTTTTCCATCTCGATTGTAATCCCCGCGGGTTTCCCATCACCAAATCACCCCTGTGCCACCACCATAGTCCCGTGCATTTCTCTCCCTTCCCCCCACCCCGTGTTGATTTTTACTAAGCATTATTGTATCGTGGTTATACAGGAACATTTTTTTTAGAAGTATGAGCTGAAATGACAAGAGGTCTGAGGTATGAGATTTTGCTTTTAAAATACTGCAATAGCAGCACAAAAACAAAAGAGGAAAAGATGGTGTACGTGGGAAAAAAATCTTAAAAGTTATTAAAGCTAAATGAAGGGTCTAGAGGAATATGTTATACTATTCTATTCTTTAATATGTTTGAGATATTTTTAATAAAATTAGAAATGAAGGATAATGATATGTATGTGAATGTGTGTTTAGGTAAAATAAATATACATAAATGTCAAAGAATCAATAAGTTTAGGATGTGGAAGAATACACGATAGGTCGATTTTCTAAAAATCAGTTACGTCCTTATGTTATCAATAACTAGTCAGAATACAAAGGGAAGAATCCTGCTTAAGTTAGTGCAAACTTTAAACCACTCAGAAACAAATTAACAAGAGGGAGGTGTGAGTATGCCCAGGTGTGTTTGTGTCTGCACCTCCCTTTAGACCTGCCCCTTTCTCTATCCCTATTACCACTGCCCTTGCCATAGGCATGTCACTCCAGAACGCAGCCCCCCCTAATCCCCCATACACTGGCCTCTCTGCCTCTTTGGAACCCCTTAATGCCATCATCCATACTGCAGACAAAGTGGTCTCTGTTTAACTTTATTATTTTATATTGAGGGAAATTTTTCTAAAATATAAATCTGGTTAATTTCACTCCTCCATTAACCTTTCAACTTTATATCCAAACTCTTGTCACACAAGTCCTTTCACAATCTGCCACCATCCCATCTACTTTTAGCTTTATTTTCAGCCACTATTCCACTGTGTCTTATACAACAGCCCTGTGCCTCTCCTAACATGTTACAATTTTTTTTTCTTATCTTCTTTTGAACACATATACTCAAGGGAATGATCTGTCTGACTGGAATACTCTTTTTCCCTCTTCATCTATTTAAATTTCATGCTGCCTGTAAGACTCAGTTCAGTAGTCCCCTCTTCTGGGAAGTCCTCAATTCTTCCACTTTACTTGGTGGGAAGCATAAAGAGCTTCCTTAGCTCTTTGTGCTTCTGTGTTGATGATAACAAGTATTATAATCACTTGTCATTATCTAATCAATTATCTCTGTTGCCCATCAAAAAAGTTCCTCAACAGTAGGAAATGACACTTTTTCTTCGCACCTCCAGAGGAGATCTATAGGGGTTGGGAAAGGGGGTGTTCAATAAAAGTTGGTGGAATTAGAGACCCATATGAAGAACAATATATATTTTTACTAAAACATGTACCAGAAGATTTGAATTAAGGAAGAAAATGTACCATATTATATGACAGAAAGACTAGCACAAAGATGCCAAGACAGAAATGAATCTGTAGCTGTAATATAACCTTTTTAAAAAAAGATTATTTGTACATACAAGAACTGGGGTATAAGCCGGGGGTGGGGAAAGGATTCATCAGAGACAGAGTGGGGAGTAGAACAGGCAGAATGACTGAAATGCACTGCTGAGGTCTGGAGCGGTCTGTCATGTCATGTCACTGGCAGGTCAGCTCACTGGCAGGGTTTTGAACTTGTGCTGCAGTGGTTACAAATAGCTTCGCAGTGCTGTGCTATAACCCACCGCGTGACCAGGGAGGGCCCAGATGTAATATAATCTTAATCAAAAATCTCAACAGGCTGTTTTTATTAGAATACACCCAGATATTTTTAGATGTCATTTTCAAATAAATAGGTAGGGATATTATATATACTATTTTGAAAATGAGGATTATGAGGTATAACATCTTATAAGATATAAGAGCATATTGTAAAGCAATAGTAATTACAATTATAGGGTACAGCACACAAAAAATAAATAATTAGATGTCAGGAAGAGAAAAATGAAGCTCATGAAGAAAGCCTGTCACTGAAGACAGGAAGTGGGAAAGGATTTAAATTTAGGAAACGGTCAAACCATTTAGAAAAATTCTCAGATTAGGTCAGCTGCACAGCCCAACAGTTGCTTGGCTCATTTACTCTCCTCAGCTACTGTGACGGTCTACTCTTTACAAGGTCCTATGCTAGGAGTCGTCACGCAGGTTGAGCAAGAGGCTGCCTGCCTTTAGAGGCTCTGTGTAGACCAGCCTGGAGGTGAGAAGGGAGCCAACTCTGAAGGGAAGACAAAGTCCTTCATTTCTCACTCCAACCAATTATTTATCAACAATTTTTGTTCAGCCTTTTATCTGCCCAGGGGAAGGAGTATATCACCCTCATCACACGCAAGGAGTGAGAGGAGGGGATGCGGAGCACCCATCAGAAAGGTCTCAAGGTGCTTCCAAGTTGGTTCCAAGTCTTGGAGAGGTACTTCGGAAACACACATCACCTCAAACTGAAGTCACTACTTGCCACTTCCTTTTCTAAGCAGAGTTCTCCCTGTGCTTAAGATTACTCATTCAACAAACAATTTTTGTGTGTGCTGTTTGTCACTAGTGTAGATGCTAAAAATACAGCGATAAATGAGACAACGCAGGACCTCAGAGACCTAAATTTTGGAGGCATTTAAACACGTTCCCTGAGCATTTACCATGTGCCTGGTATGAGAGTAGAGAGCTGCTTAAGAGAATTCCTGGAATTTAATCAACGTGCAGCCTGCCAAAGTGTTCAAAGAAGACAGAGGCACAAAAATATTTATGCCAGTACTATTCTTGGAAACAAAAAGCTAGAAACAATCCACATGTTCATCATTAATTGTTAAATAAACTATAGTGTGTTCAAACAATGAATACTTCGTAGCCAATAAAGACAGGTCTACATGGAAAGAGATGACAACTCAGTTAAGTGAACAGAGCAGGATCTCCGAAGAGCTGAGATATAAGCCATCCTTATTTTTAAATTTCATCTGTGTGTTCATGTAAATGTAGTTGTTTATATGCAGTGGGAAAAAAAGAGTTCTAGGAGAATTTATAATGCAATTATCAGTAGGGTCTCTTCTGTGTAGCGGGCCTCTGTGTATCTATGCAGTTCAGCTCACAATCTCCTGGGCTGTTCAGCCTGTAATAAATCCTAAGAGCCTGGCAGTGCAGTAACAGCAATACACTCAGTGTTTGGGAACAGAGATCCTTCCCGTCATGTGTTCCCCACCTCATCCTTTTCTGTCTCCAACAATGACCCCGTTTTATATATGATGAATGAAGATGCAGAAGCCCCTCAGAATCCCACTTGTTGAATCCTGTGGACTTTCGCCAGCCTGATGTTACTTGATCCCTCTCTGGCATTGCATCTTCCTTCTGGGATACTTTCTTCCACTGCTTTTTTGAGGCATCATCTGTTAGCAGTTTCTACTTCTTACTCTGTCTTTTGTGCTGGATGCACACCCTTTGCCCCATCTTTTAATTACCTGTGAACCCCAGTGGGGGTGTTGTGCTTGGCATCTGCTTTTTCCACCTGCCTTCCTGAGTAATCTTACCTATTCCTGTGGTCCAGCGCCCAACTGCAGGAAGATGACTTCCAAATAGGTATCTTGGCCCAAAGGCACTTACTAAGCACAAGGCTCAAATACCTGGTCCAACACTGGACCTCTCAACACATTTATTTTGTAAACATTGCATTCAATATGGCTAAAATGGAAGTCATCATCATCTTCCTCGGCCCCTGCTGCTGTAGCTCTTGCCACACAATACCACCACCATGCTCCCATCACTCAAGCTCGTAACATTTCCTCCATCTTTCCCCTTTCTTTCTCAGTCCCTTCCCATCTTCACTGCTGCTCTGTTTCTGGTCCTCCTCACCTCTCCAGGTCTACGGCGCTGATTTACTAATCTGGGTTGCCAATCTGGCCTATTCCAATTCATCCTATAC